GGTTTCACTATGTTGGTCAGGCTGGTCTTGAACTCTTGACCTCAGGTGATCCACCCACCTCAGCCTCCCAAAGTGCTGGGATTACAGGCATGAGCCACCATGCCTGGCCTTCCTTATGATTTTCTTAATAACATGTTCTTTTTTCTAGCTTACTTTAAGAGTATAGTATAAAATACATATAACAATCAAAATATGTGTGAATCAACTGTTCATGTTATCAGTAAAGTTTCTGATAAACACAAGCTATTGGTAGCTAAGTTCTGGGGCAGTGAAAAGTTATATGTATATTTTTGACTACACAGGAGGTCAGCATCCCTAACCCCCATGTTATTCAAGGGTCAGATGTAGAAACATACCAAATGAAAAACTATTTTCAGTACCTGTCAAATGATCTAAACTGCACAGTTTGTTCCACAGAGAGATCACCAAGGGCTCCAAGACAGGTTGGTGGCAGAAGGGCAGGATCCACTGTGACTCCATCTGGTGGTATGTTAACCAAGCTTCGGAGAATGTCTTTCACATTGACAGTTTTTGAAACTGAAACTGATGGTGTAGCCTTAGTGTCCAACTCATTTCCTCTATCATTTTTGGTTTCTGGAGGCTTACTGACTTCTAAAGAAAGAGTAGATAGTACCTCACTGATTGCATCTGGGCCTGCACTGACACCAGGAGGTGCTGTGTGAGGAGTTACTTCCACATGGCTTCCTAAACCAGTGGCTGTTTCTTCCCCAATGCCTGAGTCCCGCCTTCGAGCAGATGATGTGCTTTCAGATTCTTCCACTGATGCCGTAGTTAAAGTGCTGAATGCTGCTGGTGCAATTTCTATATCATATCCAGAAACAGAATAAACAAAAATTTAGAAATAATTTTTAAAAGGTATATTGAATCCTAATAGCTATCTACTGTTTTGAATTATGAACTACATCATGTTCTAAAAAAGCAAAAACTCATTACATATTCTATAAAATGTACTGAGTGGATGTGCCTATTAACAAGATAGATGGTATAATAAAATAAAAAATAAAATACTTACAAAAATTATCTAAACTTATGGGTAGCAACAAAAGGTTAAAGTCATTGGCCTGTAAAAAAAAGTATACAATCTTTTTTGGGTGTGTGTGTGTGTGTGTGTGTGTGAAAGAGTGGGGGCAGAAGGGTGTCTCAGTCTGTTGCCCAGGCTGGAGTGCAGTGATATGATCTAGGCTCACTGCAGCCTTGACATCCTGGGCTCAGGCAATCCTCCCACCTAAGTTTCTCAAGTAACTTAGACTACAGGTGTGCACCACCACATCCGGCTAATTTTTCTATTTTTTTGTGGAGATGAGGTTTCACCATGTTGCCCAGGCTGGTCTCAAACTCCTAAGCTCAAGCAATCTGCCCATCTCGGCCTCCCGAAGTGCTGGGATTACAGATATATACCACCACACCCGGCCCAAGTCCACAATCTTTAAGATAAACTAAAAAGCCCTACATTAAACGTGGTTACTGCAGCTGGAAAACTTGTTACCCCTTCTACATGCATAAATAATTCAATGATCCTTAAAATCTAGTTCAAAAGGAATACCTCCTTTTCTCTCTGTTTAATTCTCACTGCCTTTAATCAGGGTTTCAACCCATTCTAGCAAAAATGCTCTTATCAAGATCACCAAAAAATGTGCATCTTGCTAAAAAATCCAATGGTCAGTTCTCAGTTCTCAGTCCTAATAGGACTTCACATAACGGCACCAGCTGATTATTCCCTCAAACTAGACAATGCTTTCTTTCCTTGGCTTGCAGGATACCATGCTCTTTTTATTTTCCTTGTACTATCTCACTGATTGTACCTTCTTAACATCCTTCACCTCTTTTTCTCCCTGATTTCTTAAGTTGAAGGGACACAGGGTTCAGTCCTTGTTCCTCTTACGTTTTGTATCTATATTTAGTCCCTTGGTGATCTCATTCATTCTCCAAGTTTTAAATACCACTATATCCCCCCAGACAAAAAGGTGAAACTATTAAATATAACTGCTACCCTACACCTTCTCTTATATATCTAAAAACATCTCAAACTCAACATATTGAAAACTAAATTTCTTCTCTATCTTTCCCTGAAAATCTTTCACCTTTAATCTATTCCACTATATCTTGTAATCATTTATGACTACCTTTTTTTGTTGACAAAATGTACACCTGATATTTTAAAATCCTGTTTTTTCTACCACTAAAACATATCCACAATCTGACTGTCTCTTATCAACTCTACAGTTACCAACGTGTTCCATCCTGTCATAAACACTTGCCTGGATTACTGATTACTGCAATATCTTCCTAACTGGTTGTGGAAGAGGGTTGTTTTAATAATACTACTAAGGGAATGTGTTCTCTTTCCAGGGTCCACAAGGAAGCATAGGTTTAAGGGCAAGAACTTCTCAGCACCATGCCCCACTCCCATCTCTCTCCATCCGGGAGATTTAATAGTATCTGTTTTAATTTTCCTGGGCGTGGGAAAGGATCAAAAGTCAATCATTCCAGTGGAAGTTTAAAGGAACTCTTTTCATTGGCCGGAGTGGGGAGGCTTGGAGAAGGAGACAATTCCTCCCAGGTTAAAAGTCCTTGTCCCCACACCAGGCCAGATTTCCCCTCTGGTGTCCCCTTCCACACTCTTCGTGGAAGTTTTCCTCTTCTCCTTTTTTTTTCTGTACCTAAATAAAATCACTTTTCACAAACTTTGTTTGGGGTCCAGTATTTTACTTTACAAGAGCACCTACTATGGTCCCCTCTCTCATTCCTGAGAGAGCAGGAGACCAAGAACTTTCGAGAAAGGTCCTCTCAAAGGAACTGAGGGCTCCCATAAACCCCTGAACCCCAACACTACCACCCCATGTCTCCTGGTATTCATCCCTTGATAAGCCCTTGTATCTGGGCTAGGCTTGACTGACAATAACCAAGAGAATATGGCAAAAACAGCAGCAGTGGGCCCATGTTTTAAGAAAAGGCCAGGCATGGTGGTTCACACCTATAACCCAGTATTTTGGGAGGCTGAGGCAGACGGATCACAAGGTCAGGAGATCAAGAGCATCCTGGCCAACATGGTTGAAATCCTGTCTCTACTAAAATGTAAAAATTAGCTGGGTGTGGGCATGTCATCCCAGCTACTTGGGAGGCTGAGGCAAAAAAATCGCTTGAACCTGGGAAGCAGAGGTTGCA